GCTTAGCTGCCGATTTTCCTCAAGTGAAGAGCAAGCAAGTGGCCCATTGAGCCAAGTCCAAAGGGTGCACTTGCTGTGGCCTGGATGGGAATCACCACCTGAGAGGAGAGGAATGCCAGTTGATTGTGATTACCTGCTCACTTGCACAAAGCGAATCGACCCTTTTTGACCTTGTAGTTCCCCTTTTCTTTCTAGTTAATGTTTGTCATGGCCCCAAAGGGTGAGCCTTTGATCTTGCTGGTGCGATAGGTGCGGAATGCGGTTGAATGAACCCAGAAAAACTTGAATAAATGAAACCAGTAGAATGTTTTCTCTTGGTCATGCCAATAAATGTCCGCCTATCGCACCGGCACAGGGTTCTGGGCTCAAGGACTTCTATACAACAAACATCCCCTCTTTATATGGCTGTGGCTCAGAAAACCGGTACCAAAATGGGTTGCCCTGGTAAGTGGAAACATGGACCAAAAACCTGCGGTTTGCCCCTCCTGTTCAATTTTGAGCCACACCCATATCGGGGGTTAGTCTTTGGGAGGCCCTTTTTGTTGCATCACAGACGTGGATTCCAACCACCCGATCGCAAGTGATGGAAGGACCCCCAGCTGCGTGCGAAGCTCGGGGAGGCGGAAAACCGAGTTCCGGGCTGCCTCAACAGCCGGGGGTTTTGGGGTGTCGTGTTAGGGAAAACGTACCCTTTCTAGGTTTTTGAGTAGTGCTGTTTTACTCTTTTTTGGGGGAGGGTTCCAAACTACTAAAATAGACTACAGGAAAAGTTGGTACCCTTATTCTAACCTCTCTTCTGGAGGACCTAGCCTTGTTTGTGGATTTTATCTGGGAAGCCAAAAAGAAGCGCAACCATTTGTGGGATCCCCTCAAAAGACAGACCCTACTTGGGGAGTTCAATTGATTGTCAGCCTTAAGAATGGTTTGGCATTTTTAAGCTGCTCCAAGGGAGCCATTTCTGGAGTTTGTCCACGTGAAGCAGAGACGGGGTCTTTGGTGCATGTTGCTGGAACGAATAGGGGGTTCTCTCTGCTGTGGGTTCTCCAGAGTAATTACTTTGGTTCATTTTGCCAAGGGATGTTAGTTGACTTTAACTGTTTGCCAACTAATGGGTTTTCCGTATGAAGACCACTAAAAGGTAAACATCTAGCAGGGGAGCAGAAAGCAACCGAGGGGTTGTATTGAGGCCTGTGTCGGACCCCAGGAACCAAACTCCATAAGGACTGGTGCCAGCACAGCCAGCGAATCGCCGCGATCAACTTGGTAACTACTTTGGCACTTGGAGGCAATGTCCTCCGGGAGGACTAGCCTTCCGATCTGATGTTGTGGTGGTGGTTATTGTTCTTGGTCGACTTGGCGCCTTTCGCAAAGAGAAGTTTGAGAGAGTTCCCCCCGGGTTTCGAGAAACCCCAAATGGCTGCGGGCCAAAAATCGGGTAACCCCAAAATGGGCTGCCCTGGTACTGTAAGTGGCAACATGGACCACCTGCGGTCCGTATCACCTAGATCCGATGGATCGCAGGCTGCCAGCCCGGATCGGTGCGTGCCCTAGATCTGAGCCACCAGTGGGCGTCGTCCATTTGGTTTCCCTGAAACTACCCCACCAAAGGCGCCGCTCAAAAAAATAACACACACACACACACCCATACATGACACTGATGCCAGGGGGCCGGGGTTCATGTTCACGTTCGTTCCATTTCCGCGCATCAAGTCTCCGAGCACGGTTTTTGTTTGGCACTTCGAGGGGACGGCGCCATGTTTGTCTGAACTGATCTTGGCTACGGAAGAGGAACGGCTACAAGGCCATAGGCCACGGCAAGGCCGCTCCCGTTTTCAGGCCACTTTGGGGATCCACGTAGTTGTCAGCGCGGATCTTGGGACTGTCAAAGGGGCCCTTCTTTTTGGTCTCAGATCACCACCCCCAGGTACTATAAAAGACTCTAGGGGTTGATTCCTTTTCCATTATTTTCAACCATCGTTCATTTCAAAAACCAGCTGTGTCCCTGGGTTTTTGATGGTTTTTGATGGTTTCCTGAAAAGATTCGGATCCCTGGAAAGAATGGAAATGGAAGTGTCCCCTAGAGAAATAGATTACGCCTCCAGGTCCAGACGCCTTCAGGGGGTGATGGTCCCAGTTTGTTGAAACTCGTCTCCGTTGAAATGCAAAAAACACGTCAATCCACAGGGCAGACCTTGAGATGGGCGTAACAATGAGGTCACCAAAATGACATCCAGCGATATTTCACCAAAGGGTCCCTGTAAAGGGAACATGGTCTTGCAGGGACCTCCGGGGGGGCCTCGAATTTCGGGCCAACCCGCACTGGCCTTGAGCTGGCTGAGGCTTCTCCAGACCATCGTGGCAGGCCTCGAGTTCGAGAACGAGCGGTGTAGGCCCGGTGAAGCGGGGCCCCGGGCCCGGTGAAGCGGGCGGGCCCTGGGCTAAGGGGGCGGCTTGGATGGTTTTAATGAAGCTCAAAAAGTGGGTTGACGCACCCTACCTCAATCGTGTTACTTTTTGGAACATGGATGCCGGTTTTCCCCCTTTCCCAATAACGCCCCCACTTTGGGGGCCCCGCAAATATGCCGGGCCCAAAAATTTCCGCGTCTTTGGATCTCCTCCCGCCTCCCGACTCGATCTCGATCTCGATCTCCCAGTCGGCTGATAGAAGCGGACGCGCTGCTGGAGGACTCGGAGGACGGCGAGCTTGGCTCAAAACCCGAGAATCTTCGGGGAGGGGACTTGGGGCATAGGCTTATTTCCGGCCATGAGATAAAAGTGCGAAGATGAAAGGCTGTTCTCAAGTCTTGAAATTTACGCCATGGTTCTGGGCTTGGACCATCTTGGTACCAGGTTTTGATCGCTGAAGTTTGAGTCATGTGGATGCGAACTAGAGGGGAATGCTTGTTTAGTGGTATCAGCTGCTCGGCCCAAAGCAGGGGACCTGTTCAAAAAACGCCTCCCTTTCCGTCTTTGAAATGGGGGGACAAAAAAAACGGCAGGTTGTTTAAATATATATAATATGTTTTTATTAAAAAAACAAAAAAAACAAAAAAAAGATCAACCCCTGAGCTCCCGCCGCAGACCTTCCGGGTTCAAACTCGGGCAACTGGGCGCGCGGTTTAGAGCATGGGCCGGAACCAGAAGCCGGATAGACGAATACTTGGCGGGGACAGTCTCAGCCGGCGCACAGTCACTCACATGATTCTTTGGCACTGCTTCTTTCATTCCATGCGTTTTGGAATCGTAATCGTGGGAGTGGACGATCCCGGGGTACCCCAAAGGGAAAGTCGTCCTCCGCGATCGTCAGCTTCCATTGTTGGAGGTTCGTGGTCGATGGCCCTGGCTTGTCGCCAGTGACTAGGCAGCTCGGGTTCTTGTGGCTCTGAACCAGCGCAGCAAATACAACGACCTGCTTCACCCTCTACTCTTCTGACAATGATCAATGACCACAAACGCACACGCGCACGCACCTTTGCAGCACCCGTATTCAGGACTCCGCTGTAGTTCAGGGTGCAACAAGCTTGGCACATCTGGTACAAGCCAAACAAATCATCTTAGTTCAACTTTGGATATGCGTTTAACCACACACATCTTTCATGTGTGCTGTTTTTTTTTTGTTCAACTTTACTAGGCTTCAAGCTGATTCCAGGACATTCAGTGTTTGAGCTTCTCGGCTTCCCAGCTTTGCTATGGTTTTCTCACGCTTGATGCCGGTCAACCACAAAGCTTCACGGCTTCCCAGCGACTCATGGCTCGTCAATGCTGCTGGTCTCTTTGCGTCCAGCTGGTTGGGCTGCAGGATGAGGAAGAGAGCCACGATCAGAAGCAAAACTTCTTCCTCTCCGACGTCTTGGATCTGGAGGACTGCACGAATTGACTCGTGTATCAAAACCCTACATAGGTCTTCTGTTTTTCCTGTGAAGAAGGGACCAAATATGGCCCACTGGCTTTTATTAACCTCTCATGAAGGTTTGCCAAAGCCTTCTTGCCGGGGGCCGGGGGTGCTCACGGGGCCCGCGAATATGGCCTCATGAGACTTGAGCAGGGCGCGTTTTGGCGAAAGGCAGCTGTCTCCAGAGGCAAGTGGGCGCATGCAGGCATACACAAGTCGTGATAGTACTGTAGTTGCTTCCCAATCATGTGCCAGTCGCAAACCACGTTCCAGGTCATTGCGGCCAGATGGTTCTACACCCAGCAGGGAGTCTTTGTTTCATACTATTGCGACAACATATTGTGAGGAGATGTACCTTGCCTACTCACTACACCATCTACAACCATTCACCAACCGGGTGACCAAGGCACACACACAGACACCAATTGATGCTTTTCGGTCAGATGTTTTGACACTAATCTCGAGTGTTGTCGCGGCGATACACCAACTCGCCTTTTGCATGACGGTCAGAAAGGAAGACGGGAAACGGCGGGAGGTGTTTCTTAGTCTTCTACCAAGCTTGGGCGCTGTGCCTTGTGTCCTGTAAATCAGGACATCGACTCGGACTCAGAGGGGGATACCTTCCAGGTGCGGAGAGTTGTTTGTTCCTTGGCTTCCTAAGCCCTGAGTGCTTTCATTGTCCTAAGTACTGTGCCTTTAACAAAGCCCCTTCCGCGTTTATGTGTCCCTTTGCGGATAGGAGGGTGATCATGTATGAAGGGTGGTGGTGTTTTTCGTCATGGGCACATGAAATTGCATGTGCGATTGTTTTGATTGTGTTGGATTCTATTTTATGTTGACTCCTTGGTGACTCTTTGGAGTGACGTGTAAGATATTTTACACTTTTAGAAGATGTCTGATTTCCCACAAAGTGCCAGCATGCTGGATGTGTTGCAGAGAGTCAACAACCAAACCGGAACTTTTGGGCGAGGTTGTTCTTGATGTTGTGTTTGGAAGCATGTGAACAGTCTCTTCGCATCAGCATGGTTGATCTGAGAACCCCCTGCGCCGCAAAAGGGGCTGCGCGTCGTTTTCCTGTCGGTGCCATTGCTCTGGGTCCTTGTGGACTCTGTTGGGTTGAAGCCGTACCCGGAGCTTCTGATTTTCTTGTTGGGCCCCTTCAAGCGAAAGCTACAGGTTTCCCTTTAAGCTACAACTTAGACGACAATTGTGATGTCACTGCTTTTTTGCCCACCTCAGATGCGTTCACACAAGTCGCAAGCCGGCGTTTTGACTGCGTGAAGTCATGCGCCGGCGGCTGCGAGCTTCGCCGGGCTGTTCACATGTGGCCCATGCGGTATGTCGGTACATGAGAGTGGTACATGCAAGGCATACTGCGGATGTACGATTGCCTTCTCCACCCAAGAAACCCTGGAATAAGGACTCCCTGTAAATACCAACAAAACATGGCTTTCCATGGTTTCACAGAGGTGCAGGATTCCATCCATCCACAGAATGGGTACTGGTCAAGGTTTGGGGGCCTTCACAACCCAAAAGAGGCTACCCTCAAGAATCCCACTCTCATATTGTCCAGGAGGATAACCATACCAGGAAGATAAGGGGGGCTAGCTGCCCAGGGACACATGGTTGATCCCCTAGACTTCAAGCTACGCAGCGAGGCTCATCGATATGGCAGCAGCACAACATTTGAGGTCCGGATCAAGCACCAAACCCCACAGCCAATCCAGACCGATCCAGACGTCCGGATCACTGCAAAATGATCCGTAGCTGTTGTTTATCCATAGCCATATCATCGGATTCTCCGGCCACAACCGACGATGTGGAGATAAAATTGAAACTCAGAGGCTCGTGAGCTGCAGGTTTGGTCTTAGGAAAGGGCATTGATGTTGCGTGAGCCTCGCAGTCGTGCGGAACTTATAAGCTCCTTCCCGCGCAGTGCCGTGTGGCTCAAGGCCATTCGTGAAGAGAGCCAGGCCAAGCTGAAGAATCGATCGGTTTCAGCTCTTCACTAGTACCGGATTTGTTTCTGCTCAGCGACCTTGCAAGGTGTTTGCCGGACCCAGGTGTGAGGAGGGTGGGTGGTTTCTGCCTGGTTTCTTCACAGTTTTGATTGTTGCTCGAGCTGGTACGCACCTGGACAGGAGAGTTGATGCGAGTTGTGGCTGCGAACATGCCCCGAATATGGCCTCTATCACGGATTTATCACCTCGGCGAGCCCATTGCCATCATCGGATCACCCATCATATCATCTTCCAAACTCTCTTCGTTGATCTTCAATGTGCCTTGGGTGAGCCGAAGCTAAGCCATGGTGTTCATATCCCGCGAAAGGACTGGGGTAGTCTGATCACGAGGACGCGAAAGGAGCCGATGGAATTGGAATCGAGTCACGCGCTGTCCAGCCTGGAATGGCATGCCGCTTTCGGCGCCTGAGGTGGTGTTTCTCGGCCATGGCTTCCCCCCTCCCCAACCTCCCCAGCAGAGAGCCAGATCGGCTTGGGGGAAGTTGTCTGGAGGATCTGCTGGTTGCTTTTGAGGCAAGGTGTGAATGTTCGACGAGTGGGTGGCTTGGGTTGGTGCTTCCTAAAGGCAAGCTGAGAAATTGACAGCCGTAAACCCCAAACGCCTAAGTCTGAATCCTCCCCTGCAGATTCACTTGGAACGCGCAAAGGGCCCCCCCTCCCAGTTGTTGTGGGGTAATGGTTGGTCAAGGAGCCCCAAACAACATTGGGGGTGTCAATAGCAAAGCATCTATCAGCTGGGGATGAAGATCAGGCGTGCCTAAGCAGTGTTCGGTCCTGGTCCATTTGCTGCATTGCTGCCAACATATCCAGTAGTCTCTGGACTGGGTTCTGGAAAGGACACTCTTGAAATGTCAAGACCACAAAAGCAGCCTCCATTTCAAGCAACAAAGTTCAACTCAAGCATTTGATCCAGTTGCAACTTGTCCATTCCATTTTTCCCCAAGCTAGTTGAACCAGCACCTCATTCCCAGCTTTTGTTTTTGGAAAGGGCGTTGGTCGGACCGAGGCAGCTGGGTCGCAGCCATGCCTGGCAAGTGCTGTCACAAGAGCTCGCCAAGGTGGAGCGGCCTACCGGAGACTTGCCCCGAGTTGGGAGGGGTCCCGGATTTTTCCGACTCGAAGGACTTGACTTCTGCTTATTGGAGGGGTCCCGGGTTTTCTGACTCCTCGAAGCTTCCATTTGGTGAAATGCATATTCTTTTATTTCCCCTGTTGGTTTTAAAGGGAATTGATTTCACTATGGAAATACTTGTTTTTTTCCCCGGAGGACTTAAGCAAATGGAGGGAAGGCTGCGGTAAAACGGGGGCCCTGGTTTGTGTGCTGCTTCTTTGGAGAACACTTGGGGTAGTGCTCCTTTTTGGGCATTGTTCGTAATCCCTTCCCCCTATTAATAACCCCCCCTATTATAAATAAATCCCCCCATTGTTTTTTTTTTTTTTTTTAAATGGGTTTTTTGGGGTTGGGTTTTTTGCCTTTCCAACAATTTGAGGGTTCACATAGGATTTGGAGGAAATGGATTGAATTGTAAGGTCCGCGAGTAAGCGGTTTAATAAGGAAATTTGATGTATCATTCTTTTTGTTTTTCAGTTTACTGGTTGTTTGTTTGCAGCCAGGCAGGTTAATTAGCCAGCATGTACGGGAGAGAGACAGTCGCAGCTAGACAGCTTTTGGAAACATGTTTTCTTTGAGGGACACTCCAATAGTTAAAGGACCCAATTACAAACAAACACATGGAGTGGGGAAGCCAGCTTTTGGGGACCCACCTTTTTAAAAGTGGGGCTGGAAGCTTGTTAAAAGTGCCCCCTAATAAGGATTCCAAGACTTAGTATTGGTTTAGTATTGGAGCAATGGAAAATCAATTGTGCGGAATGGAAATCTGGTCCCGGGGCCCGGATTTCCATTTTTGATTAATTGGGGTCATTCATTAATAGGGGGAGCGGAATATTGCGGCGGCGCTTGAATTTGATCCGGTAATTAAGAAATGGTCCTCAGAATTGTGATTGGCAGCAGACTTGCCAACTCGATGTTTCCCATCAGACATGCTCAAGGTTCAACAGCTGTTACTCTATTGTGTAGTTGGGTGTCTTTTTTGAGGGTACCCATCTTAGGGTTGGTTTAAAGGGAAGCCAAGAATGAAACCACCACGTTTGGGGTTCGTCTATTTTGGCACGATCCCCTTTGAGCAACACACGCCGATTTCTACTGGCGATGAACATTCACACTGATTTGCGTTGCTCTACCGGAAAATCAGAGGGGTCATAGTAAGGCCTATATGGGTGTGTCTTGTCTTGGGGTGGAGCCCTTTTTTTGGGGGGGTTTTACCAAAAGGACAACCATCATTTTGAAAGGTCTCCTAAACGAAGACACAACGGTTCATGATAGTCTTGGACCCTTGGGGCTTCAAAACACAGGCACTCAGGCTAAGCAAGGGGAGTTCAACGGTTTGTCCACGGAGCTCAAACCAGAGTTTGGGGGGGGGGAGGGGGGAGTGGTCATTCCCATCCAGAAATAGAAGCGGCCCATGTGCGTTGTGGAAAAGCAAGCTGTCTTAGGTTGCCACTTTCTCTGTAAGCCAGGGGAATCCGTCTGGGTGTGTTTTTGTTTGAGGGTACCCCTTTTTTATCAAGCGAAGCAAATAGGAAGCCTTGCTGTGCTTGATTAGATTGCCCTTGCCAGATATAGAGGTATTGAATAGAATGGTTCCGCAAGGGTGTCTCAGTGTCTGCTTCTCTGTTGGTACCCCCTTTTTGGTGGTTCTCTTCAGGACCAAAATGGAGATCCGAAGCCATTTGGCGGCCCAAATCCTTAAACAGCACACCCGTTCGTGTTCCGAGCCTCCCCTGCCCCCTGGTTGGGGCAAAGGTTGTGGAACATTTGTCTGGTTTCAATTGGATTGACATTGGAGGGGTTTCAGTTTGGGTTCGAAACATGTCAGTACCAGTGCCCTCTTCCCATGCAGATTAACATGGAATCAAAACTCGGGATCCCCACTTGGCGATTCGGCGATTCCTCTAAACGCAACTTGTTTGGAGGAGGGGTCGTGTTAATCTACAGGGTCGCTCTCAAAGCACGCCTGGCCAAGGCCGGCTGCTAAGTGCTGCCATCAGCAGCTGGGATGCAACTGATGCTTCCGGTCGAATCGAGCGGATCTGACCTTTTCGTTTTTTTTGTTTTGTTTTTTTTCCCATTTCGCCGTGGGTGAAAAATATGTACCCAAAATGGAACCCTTGTAAAGGAAACTTGGACTACAACCTGCGGTCCCCTGGTTTAATTTTGACCCACACCCATTTGAGCAAGCATGTTTCTCCAGGGACCCCATAGGTTCGCCTTCTATTTCCGGGGCCTCTGGGGTGACGTTGGCTCCTGGGAGGCATCAAACAAAACTCGGCGCGCTGTTCCGAAATTTTTCTTCGGCGCGGAACTCGGAATTCGGCAAAGCCTAGCCCGCGAAGGCGGGTGAGTTGTCAGGCTCGTAGACATTGAGCTTTTTACAGGCCATCTCGGAGCTTCTAGGTGGGATGTGTCAACGTGGGATGGTGTGCGCTGCTCGAGAGCGAGCAGTCCTTAGTTCTAGTGGTCTACTGTGAGTAGTGTAGAACTCCAACTTAGATTCGGAAACAGGAAGCCCAAACAAAGGCGTGGTCTAAAAGACTCGTTATTCTTGAGGCTTTCTGTGAGTCAAACAAACGATGCTACAGCTGCTGTTCTGTGTCAGGTACGCAAAAAAAAGAAGGACAAGCGGCCCTTGACACCCAGATCAAATGAGACATGGCAGTCTCCTATCTTCCTCTTTTTTTGCTTGGGGGGGCTGTGAGCTGGTGATGCTCAAAGTCAGGGAAGCTGCTGGTCCCATGAAGCTGTTGCAACAGCCTTTCTTGAGGATGCTTTGGCAAGTGACATGAGGCAAGAGATCACCCATCTATGAAACCTCCTCCCCCGTGCAGAAATGCACAATGAAACCAGTTGGCCGCAAGGCATTGACAGTTCATTTCACAACATGTTTGCTTGGTTGGTTCCCAAATTGGGTCCCCCCGGCAATTGGCCGCGGTTTTCTCTTTGCTCAATCGTCGTGCTGTGCTTTTTCTCGTTTTCTTCACACAACCTTTGGGCATTTTGTTGTTTAAGGGTATGCTTGTTGGAGTCTTTGCCTTTGGAACCACAGGGTCCAACAGAAACACATACCCAACTCATCAGCGTGCCAAACACCCCTGTTGGCCATTTTGGAAGTGCCTGCTTGGTTGACAAGGGCTTTAGTGACAGCCCATATTGCAGCAACAGACACTGTAGCCAGGGAGTCGGTTTTGGCTAGTCCCCTGTCGGTTTTCCAAGTTGATGGGATCCAGTTTGGGCAGTGTCGTGCTGTACTATTGGGTGCTGAAGGAACCCCTCAATCATTGGGATGTCATCAAGACTGGGCTATGTTTACACCAAGCTCTGGGGGGCTAAATGACCCATCAAAATCCCTTGGTAATCCCCGACTTCCGGCTTGATTTTGGTGATTTGCCCAGATGGCCTGGGGGGGAGCCTCAGTGCGAGCATTCAAGGCGCCTATGGCCGAAGTTCTCAGTGGCCGCTGGCATTGGCGATGCTGCGGCGGCTGGCAAATGAGGACTTGGAGCGGCTTGTCACGAGTTGACTCGGGTTTGTGTGTGAATGTGGCGTGGAGTTCTAAACGGGTGGCCCTTCTTTTCTTGTTTATGGGGCTAAGACATGGCATCGGGGTGTCCTTATAGTTTCCCTTTAAAGCCACAAAAAGATGGGTACCCTCAAAGACGACACACCCAAATAGCCCAGCCATAGTTGTCAATTCAAGAGAGAACCACCAAGGGCGTGAAAAATTGGGCTTCCTTTTCCAGGCCCCCAAAGTCAGAAGCTGAAGTTGTTTCTCTTCAAGCGCCGAGGGTGACACCGACCGTGTAAAATGAGGCAAGGTGAGGTCTTCAAGGGGCCCCTGAAACCGTTGACCAATACACCCCTGGCTAAAGCTGTCCCATTGGGCTGGGAGAAGCCCATCAAGAAACCCCTGATTGATAGGTGACACCTTGGAAGCATTTCCCTGCACCAGATTGGCCGAGGCCTGGACATTGTTAGTTGTTTTTTTGTTTTCTGGTTTTGTTTTTCCCCCAGGGTGTTCTTGCAAATTCAACTGAACTCCACCTTGTAACAACCTGGACCCTCAACATTCCAACTCAAAAATGGGAGTTATTGCCAACCAAACTTATGGAGTAACGGATGGCTGGAGTCTGGAAACCGGTTTGGGTGAGCTTTTTGTGGGTTTCACATGTTCTTCCCCCTGGTTTGTTTTTGTTTCTGTTAATTCTGTTAGTACTCTTTTAATATCCTACAGGGGTGGATCCACAAAAGCCACATCCAAACCGTTTTGGAGACAGAGGCTTAGAGTCAGAGGATGTTTCCGAATTAAAACAAAACGGCTTGAGGCCTTTATGTCTTATGCTGTGGAGCGAAATCTTTTTTGGCACTTTCCTCTCCGGCGTGGCTAACATATGATCCCGAGACGTGCAATCATGTACACTCCCACCGAAGATGAAACCGTGTAGACCGCATTTCTCTGGTGTTCGTTTTTTGCGCCCGGAGACCCTGCTGAGTCTTTCTGTGCGAAGGGGCGAGTTTCAGACGGCTCATTTCAGATGGGTCGTTTAGGGTGTAGTTTCAGGGTGCAACTTGTTCGAAGCTGCCATGGGAAGCAGGAAAGCTGCAAAACATGAAGCTCGCAGGTGAACCATGCGTCATGCCGTGCAAGTCTAGAATGTTGGGTGGACCACTGATTCAGAGGAGGTTGCCCTCCATGTTGGGAGAGAGGCCCGCACGCCTGAGAGAGTTGTTCCGAGTTGGGGTTATGATTGTTATGTTCAAAGGGCTGTTCTGGCACATTTTGTGCTGGGAACGGTGCCCGGCAGAGAATCAGGTTGCGGGTAGCAACCAAAGTATGCGGCCCGGGTGCAGAGCCATTGCCTTTGGACCCTTTCGTCGTTTCACTGGGATGCGGACATCAAGGGCACACCCCTCACTCATTTAAACATCCTCATTTATGTGGTTGTTTCTCTTAAAGCGGGACAATGAATGGCCTAAATTTGATCCAACCAAAGGCCTAATTGTTGAACCAACCAAAGTCCCTTTTGTGTTGCCTTCCTCTTCCCTTTTAGCCAGCATACAGTGCCATAAGCCGGTGCGGCCGCCCCTTTTTTTCTTCGCATAGTTTGGGTGCAGGCCTGTTCTGGCAATCGATTGCCGGGCGTTGAAACCTGAATTCTCCCAAGCAAAGAATCTGCAGCGTCGACTCACGGTCGCTTTTGGCAGATGGGTGTGGCTCAATTTGTTTCACAGGAGGGGCAAACCGCAGGTCTTGGTACCCATGTTTCCGCTTACCTACCAGGGCAACCCATTTTAGTCGTATCCCTAAAATGTCCGCTTGCGGTCGTGAGCTTCAGTTTCCGCTACGACCGGTTTTTGGCGCCACGGCGCCAGATTTCTCGGTCGTACTTTTTACGCGACGAAGGCCCAACGTCGTGAGCTTCAGCGCGGCCATGACGGCCTGTGAGAAGGGCGGCCGCTGGGATCTCGCCCTGCCGGGCGGCCCGGCGGCCCGTTCGCCGCGCGAGCCATCCACAGGGCTGGAGGGGAAACATGTGGGGGGGGGGTGATCAATATTCCATTCAAGGCAGCCAAATGACCATGGGTAAAACTTTTCCGGTGTATATATAGTGGGAAATATCATCTGTTGGATGGTTTCCATTGCCAATGGTCCTCCCATGTAAAAGACCTTTTGATCAAACCCCCATGATGTAAATACCTGGTTCCTCCTTTGGTCCTCCTTTGGTCTCTTTCTGTCTTTGCATTGAAAGCTGCCTTCCGGTGCGTGCGACACCTTGTTTTGCCTCTCGACATCTTGTTTTTTTGTTTCTTGTTTTTTGTTGTTTTTTTTTTCTCACATTGTGTAGGAGAAAAACCTGAAATTCAGAACGCAACTTTGTGCACATGTGCACAGCAACCGCCAAAAGCGCCGCAATGTCCATCAGCTGGTTGCAGCGTCCCCTCCAGAGCAACAAAAGGCGAGTCCATCAGCCCGTTACAGCGTCTCCTCCAGAGAAAAGAAAGGAGCTTTTGTAACGACACAATGAAGCAAGTGCATCAAATATGTTCCTTTCAGCAAGAGGCGGACAACAGATGCACACCTGGAGGATGCAGGAAATTATATTTACGACATCTGAGAATGCGATATAGTAGTACATAATATGTATATATTATTATTATTATTATTACTATTATTACTATTATTATTATTATATTAGTATTATTATTATTATTATTATTATTATTATTATTATTATTATTATTATTATTATTATTATTATTATTATTATTAATTATTAGTATTATTATTTTTATTATTATTATTATTATTATTATTATTATTATTATTATTATTATTATTAATTATTATTATTATGTAGGTATATCTCAGTCTGAGACTAGTTCCCCCTGTCTTATGCTTGCAATGCTGCACCGTGTTCCTGAAAATATTGTGTTGCCTGAACGGGTTTAGCCGCTTCGGGGCATCAGGGTATCAGGCGCCGGGATTCGGGATCCGTTCTGGAGGGCTCCGGTCACCCAAAACCGATTCCTGGTTGCCTTGGATGGTTTTACCTGGCTTTATTCCTAGAACGAAACGAAACTGGTTTCATCTTGTTATTGGATGGTTTAAATCTTTCATTTTTTGTTCAAGGCCTAGCAGAAAGCCTTTGTAAACCGGCTGTCCCATCATCCACAGTTCTTGCCTACTTGGACCAGCCCAATGTCCTGTAACATTGCATCCGGAAATGGACAGCGGTTGCATGTACATCGGTCCTGTCGGTCGGTTCCTTTCTTGCGGATTTGGTGATCAACTGATTTGCCCACAGGTCCTGTTTGACCTGATCTGTTTGACCTTTGGCCCGGATTTCCCATGGTCCATAGTCAAGGTAGTCCCAGCTAACGCTTGTTTTCAGCAATGGAACTGGGCAGAGGGCCGTTTCAAGAAACCTGACTTCAACCCCTCTGCTTCCATCAGAGGATACCGGGTCCGTGTTTCCAGGTCTTTCGAGAGGCGCAGATCTGAAGCCAGTCCGGCTCAAGCCGGCGCTTGCCTCGAACCAGACAGAAGAAGCCGCCGGGGCCTTGGCCAGATAGGCCAGGCGGAGGCCCGGAAAGCGAAATGCCACTAGCTGGTCTTCAACATCACCGTCGTTGGGCCCTTTAAGAATGAGCATCTCACAAGGGGCGATGTGTTTGGACATGAAGGATGCCTGCAAGATAGGACATCAGGACGAACTGCTGGTGGTGCTGGTGGTGCTGGTGGTGCTGGTGGTGCTGGTGGTGCTGGTGGTGCTGGTGGTGCTGGTGGCGGTGGTGGCGGTGGTGGCGGTGTTGGCAGTGGTGATTGCTGTTCTTGTGACGGTGGTTAGCAAGGTCTGCTGTGACACGACATGCGATATTTATCATGGCATTGGACATTGTGGTCATTGTTCTCGGGATGCTTATGAGAATGGTGATGATGATGGCAACCACTGAAACGTTTTGTCGTGCCTGTGTGGCTCAATCTGCCGCACCCGATGTCGTGGGTGCTCAGCTGCTGCTGCTGTAGTGCGGCTGTTGCTGCTCTGCTGCTGCTGCTGCTGCTGCTGCTGCTGCTGCTGCTGCTGCTGCTGCTGTACTGCTGCTGCTGTGCTGCTGCTGCTGTACTGCTGCTGCTGCTGTACTGCTGCTGCTGCTGCTGCCGTACTCTGCTGCTGCTGCTGCTGCTGTCAGACTGGCAGTGTTGCTGTTGCTCTTGCTCTTGCTCTTACTGTTGATGTTGTTGTTGTTGTTGTTGTTGTTGTTGTTGTTGTTGTTGTTGTTGTTGCTGCTGCTGCTGCTGCTGCTGCTGCTGCTGGTGGTGGTGGTGGTGGTGGTGGTGGGCTTCGCCCTTAGCGGCCCTGTGAATTCTACACTTTTTCAAGATGCACCCGCTCAGCACTGTATCCATGCCTGGCAAATGGTAAGCACACCGGCTCAAGAGCACCCGCTCAGCACTGTATCCATGCCTGCCAAATGGTAAGCACACCCGTTCAAGTGCACCCACTCAGCACTGTATCCATGCCTGCCAAACGGGAAGCACACCCGTTCAAGTGCACCCGCTCAGCACTGTATCCATGCCTGCCAAATGGTAAGCACACCCGTTCAAGTGCACCCGCTCAGCACTGTATCCATGTCTGCCAAATGGTAAGCACACCTGTTCGAAGTGGCACCTGCTCAGTACTGTATCCACGCCTACAAATGCAGAAGCACACCTGTTCCAGTGCAATCTGCTCGTTAATGTAACGATGCCCACAAACAGTAAAGAATAACCCGTTCAAGTGCACCTGCTCAGCACTGTATCCATGCCTGCCAACTGGCAAGCACACCCGTTCAAGTGCGCCCGCTCAGCACTGTATCCACGCCTGCCAAATGGTAAGCACACCCGTTCAAGTGCACCCGCTCAGCACTGTATCCATGTCTGCCAAATGGTAAGCACACCCGTTCAAGTGCACCCGCTCAGCACTGTATCTATGCCTGCCAAATGGTAAGCACACCCGTTCCAGTGCACCCGCTCAGCACTGTACCCATGCCTGCCAAATGGTAAGCACAATTCTGTTCGGGCATCCGTCGGCATCATCCATGCTCACAAATGGTAAAGCATACCTGTTCGCGTAATCTTCGTTCAATTTATCCATGCCTACACATTGCAGCCACACCTGTCGCGCACCTGCTCAGCATCAGATCCATGCTCGCTAAATTGTAGCCACGTCTGTTCGCGTACCCGCTCGCATCATCCATGCCTGCTAAATGGTAAGCACACCTGTTCAAAGTGCACCGCTCAGCACTTATCCATGTCTCACCAGGAAACACACCGGTAAGCACACAGTATCCATGCCTCAAAATGGGAGCATACCCGTTCGCGTGCACCTGTCAGCACCATCCATGCCTGCCAAATGGTAAGCACACCCGTTCAAGTGCACCCGCTCAGCACTGTATCCATGCCTGCCCAATGGTTTTTCTTACACCCGTTCAAGTGCACCCGCCCGTTCAAGTGCACCGACTCAGCACTGTATCCATGCCTGCCAAATGGTAAGCACACCCATTCAAGCGCACCCGCTCAGCACTGTATCCATGCCTGCCAAATGGCAAGCACACCCGTTCAAGTGCACCCGCAGCACTGTATCCATGCCTGCCAAATGGTGAGCACACCCGTTCAAGTGCACCGCTCAGCACTGTATCCATGCCTGCCAAATGGTAAGCACACCCGTTCAAGCACACCCGTTCAAGTGCACCCGCTCAGCACTGTATCCATGCCTGCCAAAGGGTAAGCACACCCGTTCAAGTGCACCCGCTCAGCACTGTACCCATGCCTGCCAAATGGTAAGCACGGTAAAGTTTTAGGAGATATATATATATATGTATTTACATATACATGCCGCTAACCAGGAGGTCGTTGTTGTGTTGTTGGTTTTGACTTTGGTGTTGGTTGCTGTTGCTGTTGATGTTGTTTTTTGTTGTTGCGTTTGCTGCGATTTACTTTTTTTTCGATTGGACTGCATTTGGTCAGAATACCATGACTGGTAAAAACCAGCATTTCCTGCGAACAAGGTGTGAATTCACGGGGCCGCGAAGGGTGAAAGCTACCTTGTCGTTGTGGTTTGTTGGTTGGTTGGCTGGCTGGCTGGTTGGTTGGTTGGTTGGCTGGTTGGCTGGTTGGTTGGTTGGTTGGCTGGTTGGTTGGTTGGTTGTTGTTTGGTGTTTGTTGTTTGTGGTTTGCAGTTTGTTGTTTGTTGTTTGTTGTTTGTCGTTGTTGTTGTTGTTGTTGATGTTGCGGTTGTTGCTGTTGCTGTTGCTGTTGCTGTTGCTGTTGATGTTGTTCTTATTCTTGTTTTTGTTTGTGTTCTTGTTATTGTTATTGTTCTTGTTCTTGTTCTTGTTGCTGCTGCTGCTGCTGTTGTTGTATTGTTCTTGTTCTTGGTGTTGTTGTTGTTGTTGTTGGTGGTGGTGGTGGTGGTGTTGTTGTGGATGGTTGGTCTGTTGATTGGTTGCTTGTGTTTGTTGTTTGTTGTTTGTTGTTTGTTGCTTGTTGCTTGTTGCTTGTTGCTTGTTGTTTGTTGTTTATTGTTTGTTGTTGGTTGTGCTTTTTGTTGTTGTTGTTGTTGTTGTTGTTGTTGTTGTTGTTGCTTGTTGCTTGTTGCTTGTTGCTTGTTGTTTGTTGTTTGTTGTTTGTTGTTTGTTGTTTGTTGTTTGTTGTTTGTTGTTTGTTGTTTGTTGTTGTTGTTGTTGTTGTTGTTGTTGTTGTTGTTGCTTGTTCTTGCTGCGTTGTTGTTGTTGTTGTTGTTGTTGTTGTTGTTGTTGTTGTTGTTGTTGTTGTTGTTGTTGTTGTTGTTGTTGTTGTTGTTGTTGTTGTTGTTGTTGTTGTTGTTGTTGTTGTTGTTGTTGTTGTTGTTGTTGTTGTTGTTGTTGTTGTTGTTGTTGTTGTTGTTGTTGTTGTTGTTGTTGTTGTTGTTGTTGTTGTTGTTGTTGTTGTTG